GAGAGCTCTACCCAGTCTCTTCTCCAGCGCCGGAGACCGAAGGTCCTAGAACCACTTCCATGACCTGACGGACTGAGTTGTGCCAGGTTTTGAGTTGACCCCCTCCTCGAGGTTTCCAATTTGGTAACGGTTTCAAGTCGACAGCAGTAGCATTATAGGGTCTTCCCGAGAATCCAGTTAATGGCGTAGTTAAGGCGATCGGTTTAGGGTCACACGGACTCTTCTGTCGACTTAAACACCAGCCGAATTCCGAGTGTCGCCTGCGCATTATGTTTTCACTCTTTATAGCGATTAGGCAATAGTTGGACCTGCATGAATCACTGTCTAAATTTTAGACGGATTGCGCAAACTGTCTTTAATACTTTGGTGGTAAAAGCATTGTCCCCATTAGCGCCTGGTTAACCTTCAGTTGTTTGGTTAGTTTGTGCCTTCAAGTTTGAGGCCCTGTTTTTTCCTCAAAGCAAGAGTAAAGTAAAACACAATAAGGATGGACGAACTGTCCGTCTTACTGAAAACCCCTTTCCAGAATGAAATCACCTCTCAGGTTTAATAGATCATGCAGAAAGAGAACCTCTGGTGCCTTCGACAAACCTGTAAGAATCATACGTTTGCGCAGTTAAGTCTTTTACGGGTTATAGCTACTCTCCTCCCCAAGTTCAGCGAGAAAGGACATTGCCGCATTACCATATGCACGGGCTTCAAGAATAGGTGTTATCACTTATAATCAATCTGTCACAAGAAATTTGCTTCTTAGTGGCCGTACCCAAATTAGGCCATCTCAAACAACTTGTGCAGCACTCTTCTCTTTTTTAACTAGTACATGACCTAAAAATAACCCACCAAACTCAATATCTGCACTTCACCGTAATAGTTGCTTTTTGGTACATTTCGCAATTTCCCCACATAATTAATATTCAGCAAGGATCGGATAAGCGTACAAAGAACGGTTGTTTATCGCATGCATTTTATTCTATCCTATCACCGCCACTCACAAGGATCACGTATAGTCTGAGCTTTAAGTTACCTGTGCAAACTCCGTTCACTTTAACAGAATGCCAATGTACCAGTTGCCTTCTCTCAGTCTTCTAATAGTGCTGGGTTGTCGAATTTTGCCAAGCACTGCATGACAAGAGATGTTGTCCAACTGGCATTTTTCCCAGTCAGCTCAGTCCATCAGTGCTACACAACGTCCCTGTCCTGTAAACTAGGCCGTTTCAAGTAAATGCGGCCTAGTCAGCCGGTAAACATCAAAATGTGCTGCTTATTAAAGGAAACGCCGCCAGATACTTATCACCCTCCCTTGTTTGATACCGACCTATTTCTAACGTCCGGTCAAAACTGTATAGCGTATTTTCCGGATTATAAGATGCAGTTGAGAGCCTTAAATTTTCCCCAAAAACGACAGCGCGCCTTATATATCGATTAAATGTGGTAACTGACCTCCAAGCAATTTATGCAAGAGAAAAATGCAAAAACAAACCATTCGTTGTCGTTTTTCGCGGAAATTAATGGCTTTTATGTGCGCCTTTTTGTCCAAAAATATGGTATTTCGTTGCTAGCTTACTCGCGGAAGTAATTTTGCTGGTGTTTTAAGCCATGATCAGATCAGAGGTATACAATGCTGTGAGCGTACTTATTGTGAGTGTAAATATCTCGGACGTCAGCACGTAAGACAGACGTTAAAAATTACAATAAACGTTTACATAATGAGATGCATTGCAACTCCCGAGCAGCCCCTGCAGAAAATCAGTTGACCCTTGTCATACGGCTCACCGTACGCCGGGAATTTAATCACACATGGATCAATTTTACCCGCCCAACTTACTGCTTGTATTGAATCCACCATTACAGAAGAGCAAACCGACTGCCCAGACAGAATTCCAGATGATTGCTTAGGAAATCCTGCTGATAAATATTGGTGGATTCCATACAAGCAGTAAGTTGGGTGGGTAAAATCGATGCATGTGTGATTAAATGCCCGGCGCACGGTGAGCCTTCCCTGCTGTGTGGGTTTGACTCCCACCCAGGCCGCGAGTTTTTTTTTCACAATTGGGTCAAGTGAACTGTTTTGTTTTGTATATTCTCGCATTGTCCGCTTTCCTTCTCCTTGCCAACCTCCAGGCAATAGGGTCTGTGTATTTTCTGTTGCTTGTCGGTGTTACATTGCCGTTATCGCTCTGCCATTTACGCGAGCACTCTGGTTGTTACTGTCCACAGACAGTCCTGGATAATGCAAAATGGCCAACCTGCCCCCTTGACCGT